GACTTCGAGCTTGTCGTCGCACCCGGAACCGATGGAAAAGCCTCCGGGTCTTTGTACCTGGACGACGGAGTCTCTATCGTTCAAAAAGCAACCACGGAGGTGAAGTTCGACTTCAAGAAGGGTAAACTCACCGTGTCCGGAAAGTTCGGGTTCCCTACGAAGGTGGACGTTTCGCGGGTGCGGTTCTTGGGTGTACAGCGTGCTCCTCATTCCGTCGAGGTGAACGGACATCGCGTCAAGAAGGGGTCTTTCACGCATGATGCGGCGAGACAAGTTTTGACGGTGAACGTTGGGATTGCGTTCAAGCAGGGGTTCACTGTTTCTTTCGATTAGCTATCCGCTGTTTGTTTGTTTTATGGTAAGAATAATGAGATTGCGCACTTCTGGTGCAAACTTTCATTGAGGTTGATCTAAGACCGTTGACTTGCCAAGACTAAGATTTGAAGGGGTGATGTCAGAGTAAACACCCTCCTGTGGCTGTGCACTCAGTATTATTCCTTTCGTCACCCACCATAGCATGTTCTTTCTACTATACGTTCTCGGGCGTAACAGTTATGGAACTCGCCCTCTTATGTATACCTTGATACGCAAGTTTTGCGGTCATCGACTCTACCTGCTACCTCCTCCAAAGCATTGTTCTAGACGCTCTAAACTACAAACATACATTGTTCCTACCAATGGCAGGGAGAGATCACTGGATGGATGGGTGCTACATGTACGAGAGGGCATCGTATGGGGTGAGTATTTGCTTTCAATATCTTCTCGTAAACCCTAACTCCATGACCCAGCTTCCGAGGCGACCATACAACGCTTTCTTCGCAGGTTACCTCGTCACGCACGACATGAAGGAATATCCTCCAGCTCAGACGGTACAATGGGCAAGCCCGATTTACTAGGCTCACGCCAATGATTGAAAGAACTCCAACGTTATTATCAGATGATGGGTTCATGATCAAAAGACACGGGGATGCTTGCAAATGCAAAGAGACAGGTTCATTGCGTACAGCTTGGAACGCATCTCACATTAGCTACGACTATCCGCCAGCTCTTCAAGCTCTCTGTCCACCTCTCGTCCATCGTCCACAGTCGCGGTTGTGAATCACTCAAGATCCTGCCGCAGCGCCAGGCAGCGCCAAACCGCGACTCAAATGCCGGCTTCAATTTGGCTTCAACCTTCTCTTCCTCACTCGAGTTGCCCAAATTCCTGAGCGCGACATCATAACAGCAGATGATCTGGTAACATGCGGTGGGTGCAGTAGAATCCAATAACGTGCTGATAAATATGGTGCCGTACTTCCCTCACAGCGTCATCCTCGCGAGTCAACTGACCCCACATCTTCAACAGAACACCGCGTCCCGAGGCATCTCGACACTTCTTCCGTCATGAAACGGGCTATATGTCCCGCATTGCGACGTGATACGCGGCTTAATGTTAAAATCCAGGCTCCTCACTCTATATATAACGTCGGTCATCTGGGTGTTATGACTGCAGCCTCCCCCCATCTGCCGCCGCCATGCGTGTCGTCAAGTCGTCAACACTGCTAGCTCTACTTATCGGTGGAGGGGCGTTTGCCAATTTCACTGATCCGACTGTCTTGGACGCCTGTCCTGGGTACAAGGCTTCCCACGTCGTCACTCATGGTGCACAATTGACAGCAGACCTTACTCTCGCTGGTGAAGCGTGTAATGTCTTTGGGCCTGATATCGAGAAGCTCAAACTTGAGGTGACATACGAAACAAGTGAGTTGATACTTGCCGTGTTGCTACCGCGAAATTGCTCATACCACCCTCTAGAAACCCGCGTTCACGTCAAGATCACAGACGCGTCCTCTCAAAGATACGAGATTCCCGAGTCTGTTCTACCGCGCCCCGACGCAGGCCACTCAGTCGCACCTCAGCTCGCAGAGATCCAATTCAACTACACCACCTCTCCATTCAGTTTCTCTATCTTCCGTACCAAGACCAAGGAAGTCCTCTTCTCGACGGCTTCCCATCCCCTCATTTTCGAACCCCAGTACCTCCGTGTGAAAACCAATTTGCCGAGCAATCCGAACGTGTACGGGCTTGGTGAACATACCGACTCATTCCGCCTACCAACACATAACTACACTCGGACGCTCTGGTCCCGAGACGCGTTCCTCGTTCCGAGCGGCACAAACCTCTACGGCAACCATCCTATCTACTTCGAGCATCGCACGACTGGCACCCATGGGGTCTTTCTCGCCAACTCCAACGGGATGGATATCAAAATTGACGACGCTGGTTCAGCCAGTTTGGAATATAACGTCATCGGAGGGATTCTCGACTTCTACTTCCTTGCTGGGAGTGAAACAGACCCGACAGAAGTTGCGAGGCAGTACGCAGAGATCGTCGGTACTCCTGCAGAGGTTCCCTACTGGTCTTTTGGCCTTCACCAGTGTCGCTTTGGCTATACAGGTACGTCAAAAGATCACCGAAAAGTGTAGCGTACTGACGATCTATCATGCAGACTATATTGACGTCTCGCAAGTGATCACAAACTACTCTGCTGCTGGGATCCCTTTGGAGACGATGTGGACAGATATTGGTACGCTTTGAAACTATGTTGCATTTTTCTAGCCCACACTAAATAAGATGCCACGTAGATTACATGGATAGGCGTCGCATTTTCACAGTCGACCCACAATACTTCCCCCTCAACAGGATGCGAGAAATTGTTGATTTCTTGCACTCGCATGATCAGAAATTCGGTAAGCGTTGAGCTCCTTTGTCCTTGCAATAGTCAACCTAACGCTTGCCTCTGTAGTTTTGATGACTGACCCGGCAGTTGCATATCTCCCCGGAGAGAGTTATGGACCATTTGATCGTGGAACAGATGCGGATATCTGGCTCAAGGCTGCAAACAATAGCTCTCCTTTCCTCGGCGCTGTCTGGCCAGGTGTGACAGTTTTTCCAGGTACGTGAGGTGGTGACATTGTACATGAATTCAGGCTCAATGCCGCGGACATAGATTGGTTCAACGAAAAGGCTCAAGAGTACGTACATTTCCACTCCCTATCTGGTTTGGTTCTGAGATTGACCTTAGCTATTGGACGAACGAATTCAAACTCTTCTATGACCCCAAAACTGGTCTTGATATCGACGGTGCTTGGATTGACATGAATGAACCTTCCAGCGTAAGTCGCGTTCCTATTCACGCAGCGTAACCTTTCTCATCATCTTATTTATCCCTCACCAGTTCTGTAACTTCCCGTGCACCGATCCGTTCCAGCAAGCCCGTGATCAAGCTCTTCCCCCGCCCCGGACAGCCCCAGTTCCCGATCCAAATGCACCGATATTTGGCCAAGCGCAAGCCCCTTTGCAGAAGAGGATTGATCACAGTCAGGATAACCTTCAAAGCCCTCCGTACACTATTCAAAACGCTCAAGGAGGGGGAATGCTGTCAGACAGAACCGCTTATGTATATTATCATTTGACATATTGTCTTTCATCCATTCCTGACATGAGGACCTACAGGTGGATGCTGTTCATGCAAACGGTCTTTTGGAATATGACACGCGTAAGACGCATATCCACCATTCAGCGCACCAAATCACTGAATTCCCCTTTTCTTCAGACAACCTCTATGGCACAATGATGTCTACGGCTACTCACAACGCAATGCTTGCCCGTCGTCCAGGACTTAAGACACTCGTCATCACCCGATCAACCTTTGCAGGTGCAGGAAGCCATGTCGGAAAATGGCTCGGCGACAATAATAGCGAATGGCCTCATTATCGTGCTTCTATCGCTGGAATTCTGGGCATGGCAAGCGTGTACCAGGTCCCCATGGTCGGCGCAGATATTTGCGGATATGGTACGTAAATGAACAGTTTGGCATCATGTGTTTGGATTCATTTCTTGATTAGCTGGTGACACTACTGAGACGCTATGTGCGAGATGGGCAATGCTTGGTGCCTTCTATCCTTTCATGCGAGATGTGAGTCCTGCACGAGACGTTAGGAGATATTTTGCAGAACTCAATCATTCCACAGCATAACTCGGATACCTCTATCAGCCAAGAGTTCTACCGCTTTCCTCTCGCAGCACAGGCCGCCAGGAACGTGCTGGATATCAGGTGTGCTGGGCTTTGTGTCATAGCTGAAGTGGCTTTCTGACCATCGTGACGCACCTACAGATACCGACTGATAGACTACCTCTATACTGCTCTCCACAAAGCCCACGTTGACGGAACACCCGTTCTCCAGCCCCTATGGTACCAATACCCCAAAGATCCCTCCACCTTCCCCATTGACCTCCAGTTTTTCTTCGGCGACTCCATCCTCGTGTCCCCAGTCACAGAAGAAAACTCCACATCAGTCACCGCGTACTTCCCCAAAGACATCTTCTACGACTTCACCACCCTCGCGCCGTTCCGCGGTACCGGAAATAGCGTGACGTTGAAAAATGTGAACTTCACGTCTATCCCAGTTCACATTCGTGGTGGTGTCGTCCTGCCGCTCCGCGAAAAGGGGACAATGACGACCACGCAGCTCCGCAAGACTGACTTCGAGCTTGTCGTCGCACCTGGAACCGATGGAAAAGCCTCCGGGTCTTTGTACCTGGACGACGGAGTCTCTATCGTACAAGAAGCAACAACGGAGGTGGAGTTCGACTTCAAGAAGGGTAAACTCACCGTCTCCGGGAAGTTCGGCTTCCCTACGAAGGTGGACGTTTCGCGGGTGCGGTTCATGGGTGTACAGCATGCTCCTCATTCCGTTGAGGTGAACGGACATGCCGCCAAGAGGGCATCTTTCTCACACGATGCAGCGACGCAAGTTCTGACGGTAATCGTTGGAATTGCGTTCAGGCAGGGGTTCACTGTCTCGTTTAGTTAGTTTCACACTTCCTTCGATGCAGCCAATTTGTGTTAGTTTAGCTGCAATGAAATGTAATGTCGAAATTTGGATCAAATATGGATTGGGATAAAATGAAAGATGATGGATTTCAAATTGATCAGTGCGGCTGAAAAGAAAAAGTAATGACCACCGCAGGGGTCGAACCTGCAATCTCCTGATTACTCAATCGTAGTCAGACGCGATGCCATTTCGCCAGGCGGCCATGTTTTATAGCTCAGCAGGAGAGAACACGAGGCGCACTCACGTGCGATCTCTGTCCCCTCAATACTTGCAAAGTCCGAGTAAACACGTTTACCGGACGTTTGCAGCTGAATCGACTATCATACAGTACAGAAAAGATACTACAAATACACAGGAGGGATCGATCAAGATACAGAGTTCCAGGGGGGTTGAAGGGGCTAGCAGCACAAAATGGTCTCGAATGGGTATATCAGAATGTGTTCCTTGGGCCAACGAACGAAGGGAGGATGAGAGGGTAATATCCGTGGCATCAGGGATCAACCTTGATAAACGATGGACGAGGTGGAGGGGGTAACTTCAAACTCTGGAACCCAAAGGTGGGGCTCTTCATTGGAAAGTCCGAACGCGACCAACCAGATTTGGTTCAGGCGTATACTAGGGTTTCCAACGGCCCACATGCTGTCTTCGGAAGACGCATAAGGGGACTGTAAAACGGATATGAGTCAACCACACGAGCTTTGTGCATCGGTATGTGCGTACCAGTACCTGTTGTTGGTGTTGAAGGTTAGACAGAGCTTGGCATATCTGCGACGCGAGGACGCGCAAGGTGATGAGGGAGCCAGTCCCGTTCCTCGTGGACAAGATGTCTGGCTGACTGAACGAATAACCAGGCCACTATACACAGCGTCAGATCCGCATACATGACATGACTCGTGTAGAATACAACATACCATCAAAGCCCATGGGATCCGTGCATACGCCTCTAAACACTTGACCTTCATCTCACCAGCGTCCACGTTGGTGAAGTCGGTGCGGATGCACTCGCTCACGAGGATGCCCGGTTCGTCGTCCGACGTGAAGCAGATGCGAGATCTCTCGGAGAGTGTATACCCTGTAGGCACAGGAATGCGGAATTGTGGCATCATCCTCAAATGACGAACCGGTCCGTAGTTCGGGTTGACTGGGTTGTACGTTGTAGAAGATCGTTCACGTTCATTCGCTGTATTTTGCGTGCCTCTGGAAGCCGGTGCAACTCGTGAAGAATGTCGGACACCCACTTGCCTCCTGTTTGACCCATGGTTGATGAGGGGTAATTGAACAGGGCTGGGGCTCATACCAAGGAAGGGGGGAGGAGGGACACCTGCCGCCTGCATATATAGATCAGCTACAGCCGCATTCAAAGTTACCCGTAAAACATATACAAACAGGATGGAATAGCATCGAGTTCTTAGGAGGGTAGTCCGAAGACGGTCCTTGATGGGTGGCAGTGGGTTCGCGGCGGTGAATGCGCTGGCTGGATGAGCGGGATGACATGGTTTCGCGGCGGACAAGGAGCATTGGTCGACTTTGCGATGCCGTACTTATAGTGCCCAAAACGATAATAGAGTTAGTATCGGGAGACCATGCAGATACAGCCTTTGCACTGTATACCAAATGCCTTCAATTGATCGAGCTGGGTGCGACAGTTGGGTTCTGTCAAAGTTGACCACTTATCGTTTATCAATGCACTCCCACCCCCCAGTATATACACCCAGCTGACTCTCCAATGACAGTAGGTAGCAGCGCAGGGTATCCATGTTCTCGTGAAACAAGAACAGCGAAATGACGAAGGGCCATTCGCAGTGTTGGGTCGCATGATCGGATATCCGGTAGCCTTATGCCTTGAAGAGAGGCCGTAGTACTTTGGGTATGAATCCCAATCCACTCTGTTAGGTGCGGTATTCGAGAGAAATGTATTGAGAAGACGATAGAGAGAGCAAAGAAAGATAAAAAACCAATCGAGGAAATATCAAGGAAAAATCCAAAAATATCGTGCATGGTTGAGAATCGTCAGTCACGCGGGCCGCCATCCGTGCAGTGGGATTTGGACATCGGGAAAGTTTGAACATTGAGACAGTACATATATACATCATAAAGTACAGATCATTGTGCCACATACATGGGATTAGCAGTGAATTATAGTTTGCAAGTCATATCGCAAGGGAAAGCGAGTGCAGCAAGGATAGCCAGGGGGAAAGCAAGCTGAAAGCATGAAGGTGTGGGGTATCAAACACCTTCGATGACGAGGGTGCTGGCAATCTGCGAAGATTGAAGCCTAGGTATAAAGATCCAGGTATTATCGCCCTTACGTGCGATGCTATCTATCATTACAGTTTCTCTAAGCCGGGGGCTTCCAATAATGAAGGGTTGCACATGGTCACTCTTGCTTCTCTCCGGCAAACGGTCTCCCTATAAAGACGTCTGGATCAGTGAAAGAAATTGGCTTCAGGGAGGCGGGTGACCTACCCTACTCTCATGCTTCATCCACTTGTCTACTCGTAATGCAATTCGAGTGAGCAATTCGGCGCGCGTGAGCGCGGTGCCGTTTTTGACATTGATGTAGCATCCATGCTCGATATACCCAGGCCACTAAACGAAATGCAGCGTTGAGTTTTTACACAAAAGACAGACAAAGATACGACTCACCCTGATTTTCAAGGAAATTTTGCGGCATCCTAGGAAGCAATCTACGAGTTCACCCGCGTCATCCACAGGAACCGTTTTGCTCAGAGCTTCCACAAGGGGTATCCCAGGTTTCCCATCCCGTCGAAATATGACCTTTCGAGTAGACTCTGATCGAGGGGAGCCTTCCGTTTGCTCCTCGGCTGTGAGGGGAGTCTCGAGTGGCTGGGGGCTTGAGTGGGCGGATGAGATCAAGCCTTCAAAATGTGGCGAGAGCATTGGTGATGGGAAAGGGGAATTGGTGCCGTAGGGAGACCCCGAGGCGCTTAGATGGGGGGAGCAGTTCTCCGTCGAAATGAGCAGAGTAGGCTGTAGTTCGGACGTTCTGGAGAAATGGACCTTCGGGATAGCCCAAGGGAAGTCATCAACCGCGGACGCGATGTAAGGCGTCTGTGGTGGGTGCCCTACTTGAGGAAACCCAAATAGTTCTGTCGATGTGCTCGGAGCCGCATATGTACGAGGACTAAACGTTCTCGAAGGAGTTTCGGGTGACAGTGCGTCAGAGGAAGCATAAGGACTTGCACCAAGGGTTGAGCTCGAGCCAGCAGGAGACACGCTGTGCGTCTCTTGCAAATAGGGAAGGGACCACAGTCCGCGACATTCCTCGAGGTCACCTTGTGCCACATTGAGCGATGGAAAGTCAGGCTGGTGGGTGATCTGTATCTGTTTTGGGTCAGAACACTCGGTATAGATTCGGTCAAAACACTCACTGTTGGGGCAAATGATGATATGTCCACATTTGATATGCCGAGACAGTTGAAGTATCCCTGCAATGATTAGATATGTCAACCAATGTATGCAGCAGCCAGTAATCGACATCACTTACATCGCTCTGGTGTTGAGATGGAGGAGAATAGAAGAGCAGGGATTGCGAGTGGCTTTGCTCATCGGATGCGGGCGAGTGGTTCACTTGCATTCCTAGTTGACGCAACCGACAGTTCAGTGAGAATGACTCGAAGACGGCGTGTTTTATATGCATGGGGCGACGCACGGTCTCAGGCAATGTTCGCGTTGAGTGGCGAGCAGAAGCACCGATGGAACCTGGACACGATGAAAGGGCGTGGAGGGTACGTACGACGTCAGAAAGACACTGCCTGCTCGGAATAGATCATGTGTCTCCTTTCGGGAGGGGAGGTAGAAGGGAAGGAGGGAGGAAGGGTTCAATATTTGAAAGCCTGATTTGGCGACCGAAGGCACTGTTTTCGACGCTGATTTGGAGGAGAATGCATGATTTGATGAGAGGAAATAGCTTAGAAAAAGGAGTCAACACTGCAGGACCGTCAGTTGGGATATTCGTCGACCCTTTTCTGGCGAGTTTCAGTGATGGATGGCGGTGGTCGAGTAGAGAGCAGTGCACAGCAGGCGCTGGCACTGCCAGACCCAAGACGCCTGAGCCAGGGCGACAGTCTAAATTATTGCGAACATGCACCCTTCGCACTTTCACAACTTGCACTTTTCCTCGTGTTGTGGGGACGACAATCTAATCGTACTTTCTCTGCTCATAGCATCGTCTCATTCGCCTTAATTGCGAGGGATCTCAAACATACTTTTGACGACTCGGACGCAATCTGGCTGGGAGCGGCGGGTTGGGCAGGAGCAGGTTGGGCTACTCCGCTTTCCTTTTACGTTCCGGTATTCTGATGTAAATCAGTAGCAGTGTACATTTCCTTACGCCGTGACCGCTTTCTGAGCCATCGACGTGGCGGCAGGATATTGGATCCTCTACAGTGGCCGAGCCGATACCCCGACAGTGAACCTTCGACGATCCTCAGTTTCATGGTTCATGGTAACTGGTGAACCTATCCCTCTTTCGTGACTTGATACGTGGCTCATTTCTATTCGATGAGAAGTGAGAAACTGAGCTCAAATCAAGGAGGTGTATCCGTGATAATATGAAGAGATACCGATTCAACGAACCATGAATCTTGAGGCCAGCACCCTCTGTAATTCCTAGTCTTGTTCGAGCCCAGTTCACGTCAATGCGTGAACATGCGCAGCATCGCGTAGCGCTGTTCCTGGCCTCCATTTTGAAGAAGTCAGAATGATAACAGATTGCACAGCTGCAGGAGTGAGGTATCCTCGTGGGGGGAACGCCCTTTCACCCGAGGCATTGCCTTGAGCTCAAAATGCAAAAAAATCGTTCGATTCGATTGTGATCGTTCGACTCTTCCCCGTCCCCGATTTGAATCATTCCGATGACATCCAGTTCGTCGAAGAGGTAAAAGTGTGGCGTTCAACTGAGATTGCGTTATCTTATCTAAGATATCATATATCATAATATCTTGATCTTATCTAAAGCATGTCCGATCAATGGCCGACCATGGTCTTCGTGTATGCGTGCATGCTGCAGAGAGCAAGGTAACGGTCGTAGCACAGGTTTACTAACACTAATCCATAGAAGCGAAAATGTTCAGCAAGCGGAAACGAGACCTCTGCATCATCATTCCACTTACTTTCAGACCTAGAGATCTCCCTGCAAGAAATCACCGAGAATACCCAGGTACCGCTCCTCCTCCTCCA